GTGTGCACTGAAAAATAAATTATTCCAAGGTATTGTCCATATGGTGTTGGTTTCTTGGGAGTACTGAATCAGGGCAACGTGGTTATTATTTTTTCAAGTCCTATGAAATATCTCCTTGTTAATTTCAACCAACTGAATTTCTCCAGGTTATTTGAGTGTTTGTGAGCTTCAGCACAGATTAAAATATACATTGAAGAGAGTGTGTATACAAACTCTTACAACACATTGCACCCACTCGAGGTGCCCCAAGAACACCATAGAACGATTAAAAAAGAAAAAATTAAAAGAATCCAAAAAGAGAATAAAGTTTTCATGTCCTGGTATGCCTTTTTCATGTCCTGGTATGCTTATTTAGGAGACAAGCAGAAACTTCTAGACCCAAAACCAAAAGAACAATACCAGGAAAATCGAACCAAGTACCAGATAACACAAGCATGAAACAAAAGTTACAGGAAATATGAAACTTCTGCAGCAATCCAAAGAGCATTTGTACATAGAATCTGAGCAAACTCCAACCTAAAGAGAAGAATCGTCACGCCGGTGCTATCCACAATTACGCTTCTCCATACAGGAAAGGATCGGAGCAGCAATATTTGACAAAATGACAATAAAACCAGTTGAATAGATTCCAAGGTTTAACTAGGAACCACCTTTGGCCCCTCTCAGGGCCAGCAGGAGGAGAGGTGTGGAAGACCTTAGACCGTATCAGCTTTTCTTCTATCTGATACTGCTCACTTAACCCAAGATGTGCCATGAGAAGGCAAACATGAGTAAGTAGCTCTCCACCATTTGTAAGCAGTTGCCCATGTTTTTTCCAGTCACAATGACTTGCAGCATATGCCAGGAATTCTACCCACACTTCACTCGTTATCTCCCATTTTTGTTCAATCTGCAGCTGTTGTAACCTCTTTGCCAGGTTACACCCAAAAATGAGCAACGATTTGCTTTGGTCTCCCTTTATTTCCATCGCTGGCATACTAGTATCCACCTCAAGCAATATTTTGCAAGCATTAACCACCCTAGTCTTTATGCTAGGATCAAATATCCTACCCCATTCTTGTCTGAAAAATCTCACAGCTTCTGCACAAGTGTCTCTGTACCTTATCTCCCCAATTCCTTTGGGCAAGAAATTTGGATACTTAACAAGAAGATAGAGCATGTAATCAGATAGCCATTTGCTGATTTTGGCCTTCTTAATGATACTACTTTCAAGCTGGCCCCCAAAATCATTTTGGAAACAAATTTCAGTAGCAATGTGCCAGAGGAGGAGGATATGATTGAACTCTACATCAGCCGTGTTCCATCGAAATTCATTGAGGCACCCATACTTTTCCAGCACCTGAGAACCACTCAATTCCAAGAGCTTCTTGCATGCTATATCACTCGACACCAGGTCAGATTTGTTTTTCAGTTGAGTAAAGATCAATGCTTGCAAATCAGCATTAATATCCACCCAAGTATTGTTTTGAGACTTCTGTAGCATCTCGTATATACCCAATAACTTTTGAACTTTAATGCATGCCAACGTCCTATATTGGAGGCAGAACCCAATAAGGTTACATTGGGCAATGGATTTTGACCACCTCCTACGATTGGGAAGGGTGCCTTGGATTCTATGACCATGTAGTTTTATCCAGTCAGAAAAAATAAGTAAAATGGCTGCGTAAACCTCAAGAGCAACAGCTCCAACAAGCAATGTGTATGTTATAAAAATGTCAGCAGTTGAGAATTGCTTCTTATCAATGATAGATGAGAAGGCTACTAATGCAGCAATAGAGGACAAACAAGTGATGCAGCGAAAGACGATGCCTGACCTTGAGTAAACGATGTTTGCTTTGGTGTAGAGCACATCATACATTAATCCAAGCTCAGTTGCAACTAATTTGAAAGCATCTTCTGATGACTTGCTACTGATGATAAAGTGGCTATGTTCTCGATCCTGGAAGTCCAGGATAAGATCTGCAAAGAGATATTTTAAGTCCTTAAATAAAATTCGAAGTTGCATGAGTTCTGGGTTGATGTAGTGGTGAGGTAGTTGTGCTCGAATTGGTGAGGTCAGGCTTGCAGATCTTGATAATTTAAAATAATCAGGACCAGGGTCAGGAGGTGGAAGCAAGGAATTTCTAAAATATTTGGAGCTTGAGGACCTGAGAACCCAAGTTCTTTGGCCGTACTTGATAATTCCCCCAACAAACACGGGAATGGCTATGAATGCAAGGGCGTTGTCACGACCCCAAGAGCTCAACCAGAGAGAACATGCCCCACTAATCTGGACCATAAGATTGAGAAAATGCCTCAGCCATAGCTCATTATCTTCCAAGGAATAAGCTGTGATGGTGTCTGGACCCCCAAGGTGCAAGAGAAGAAACGGCGCCCAAAATAACTTGAGTAAATAGTCTGGATTTTGAGCATCTTCTTTGCAATATAAGATGGCAAGGCTTCCCAGTGCGGCAGTTGCTATGCTATCTGCAGATATGTAAGCTAGCCAAACAAGAATGTGGATCCAAGTTTTTCTTGTGTATTTGCGTTGCGCGCCAAATATTATGAGGATCATCTGTAGCAAAAGGCTGAGCAGAACTAGTAGCCGAATCTCCCAGCCGGTCCACAAGTGCTTAATCCTTTGTACAAAGATCTGCATTGCTATAATCTTCTTTTCCTGAATATTTTATGATGTTCAAGAGTACCAAAAAAAAAAAAAAAGGCATGTGTTAATTAGATGAAATAGACGAAAAGAAAGTAATGCTTGAACTTCAAAATGGAAATGTATGTACTGTCTTAATTTCATTGTTGTAAAAAACTGTAAACATCATCACTTACTTGAAAGAAGAAAAAATGGTCGCAAGATCATCTTAAGTGCTGATCATGCTAATTGCTAAAGGATTAGGCTATCTTTGTGACGTTTTCTAAACCATTTTGATGTGTAAATCAATAGCCTTCAAAGTTCATTTATAGGCTCATTTGCAACATATGAGATGAGAGAAAATTCCCTACAACATTTTACATTTACAGTTCCGGAAGATCCTGTAGCTAATGGCAAAATGCTTTTAGTCATAATAATATTTCCTGTAGAAACATAATTAAGTTAGAAAAATATAACTAAAGCATTGGGTTAAAGACAAGAGTTTATGGCTCTTCTGATACATCGAGAAACTAATAAATTTATTATTTTCAGGCTATATAACAACATAACATAATTGTAATATCTTTAAAAAAATCAATTTTAATGCAATTTTTTCTTTTTTTCTCTTCAATTCCTCAATACATTTGCAGAAGGTATGTTCTAATTAAGAAATCACTTTCTAAAATGGATTCTTTTCGTTCAAATCAATCCAAAAATAATGGTTCCATGAATCGTGTAACCTTTATACATTGTAAACAAAATTCAGGCAGCTCTTTACTCTACTTTGCATGTACTTTAAAGTAGCCATGCCACTTTTAGTTATGACAAGCTGCTGATGGCCAAAAAAAAAAAAAACTGTATGTTTCTAGCTTATATTAAGACAAGGATTGTGTCTTGTAACCAATTTCGTTTTTCTTTTTTTTTTTTTTTTTTTTTTTGAACTTGGCATGCAATGTTGTGAACCGATTTCCGTTGTACATTATAGTCACAATTCATGTATTTTTAGTCAAATTGCATAATAAAAAGTATAGTTTTAGGTACTAAAATCACTTAAATGTTATTGATAAAAGGCTAAATGCTAAATTTGGTCCCTTAACTTTATAGAGTTGCACTTTTTTGGTCCCTCAACAATTTTTTGCACTTTTTTTATCTCTCAACTTTAAGGAATGCACAACGTTGGTCCTTCCGTTAATTAAGCATGACGTGGCTGTTAAATAATATCACATGGCATTTTCTTTTAATTCTTTTGATGATGTGGCAATATCATATATTATAATTATATTACATAAAGAAATAAAAATGCCACATCAAATTAATATTTCTATTTTAATTAAAAAAATAAAAATAGAAAAAATCACCTTATTACCCTCTTTCTCCCCCTTCTTTCTTTCTCTTTCTCTTTCTTTCTTTCTTACCCACCGAACCCAGATAGAACCTAGCAACTGGGTTTGATGGAACCTAGATCGACTGGATTCCGTTGAACCCACCTACTGGGTTCGATCAAAACCCAACTAGCCTCCTTTTCCCCCTTCTTTCTTTCTTTCCTACCAACCGAACCCAGATAGAACCCAGTAGCTGGGTTCGATGGAACCCAAATCGACTAGGTTCCGTTAAACCCAACTACTGGGTTCGATCGAAACCCAGCTGCCCTCCTTTTTCCTTTTTTTTCTTTCTCTTTCTCTTTCTTTCTTTCCTACCCACTGAACCCAGATAGAACCTAATAGCTAGGTTCGATGGAACCCAAATCGACTGCGTTCCATTGAACCTAGTTGTTGGGTTCAGTCAAAACCCAGCTGCTAGGTTGGGTATCGACGAACCCAGCATAAATTTTTTTATCATTTTTGCCAAGTTGTTAGATCCAGAGGCTTCTTGGGACAAGGTTCGTTGATTTTGAACTTCCATATCATGAGATTCTCTTTTTTGATAGATTCCTTTTGTTTGACTGTGTTCCAGGCTTTAATAATGGGTTTCATTTTCTACCTATTTTTGGATACGTTAGTAGTTGCCATAAAATGGTTGCTTTTGATACCTAATTCATGCTTTTTTCCACGATAATCCACTGATGGGTTCACTAATTTTGTGTCAAAATTAGTTTTTGGTAGATAATCATGTGTGAATTGGACTTTTTATTGGTATAATTTAAATTATTGATTTTTTTTTTTTTTTTTTTTTTTTTTTTTTGGGGTAGGATCAATTGGGAGATGTTTTGCATTGGATTTGGCAAGTGGTAGCTCTTGTATGTGGTTTGCTATGGGGTGCAATACCTTTGGTTGGGTATCGATGAACCCAACACGGCTATCAACGAAACCCAGCAGGCCTAGCTATTCAACGAAATCCAACTCCTGTTGATTTACAATTTGATTGTATTTTTGTTAGAATTTGATTAGGGTTTGATTGATATTGTTTATTGAGGAATTAATTTGATGGAGTGGAGATGAAAGAGCATTAAGAGAAGAAGAAGAAATGGGTTAATATCGATTTTGCAGATGAAGTGGAGATGAGAGCACATTATAGAATTTTTTTTTTTTTTTTTTCAGGTAATGTGAGACTCATTTGAGAGAATTTAAAGCGTTTAAATATGACATGGCATTATGTTTTGGCATTATGTTTAGTTCATGTTAGTACCTTTTTAAGTTGTGCTCTCCATGTCATCAAAAAAATATAAAAAATTGCCATGTAGACGAAGTTAATGGTCTAAATTGATGGAAGGACTAATGTTGTGCATTTCTTAGAGTTGAGGGATCAAAAAAGTGTAAAAACTTATTGAGGGACCAAAAAAGTGCAACTTTATAAAGTTGAGAGACTAAATTTAGTATTTAACCTTAATAAAATAATACAAGAAAAAGTTGTATGAAGGGTATTTTAATAAATTCATAAATTAAACTGTATTTTTATTGTGCAAACCAACTTGAAAACTCTTTTTTAAAATGAAAACAGAAAAAAAATGAACTAACCCAATATTAGGCTTATTTATGCTAACGCAAGGATTGCGTCTTGTTGTGACATTTTCTAAATCACTTTCCTTTGTATACAAGTCAATTATCTTCACAATTCATTTATAGGTCCACTTGCAGCATATGTGATGAGAGAAAAATGAACAAGAAGTAGAGTGAAGAGCTGCATGAATTTTCTTACGCAATTTTGAAGTGGTTGGGACGAAAAGAATTCATTTTAAAAGGAGATTCTTTGTGCAGGTGTCTTTGAGAAGAATTGAAACGGAAATTAAAGGGAGGAAAAACTAAGAGACAATGCACGTGGTTCCATGGAGATATTTGTAAAAATAACTTTATGTTGATGATCTTGATAACACAACTAACGTTGAAGCAATTAGCAATTAACACAATTATTTTTTTGGGTGACATTTTCACAATTATCTTCACAATTCATTTAGAGGTTCGGTTTGCAGCATATCTGTTCTGTGATGAGAGAAAAATGAGCGAGAAGCAGAGTAACGAGCTGCATTAATTTTGTTTACAATATATGAATTCCTATCTCATGGCATCTATAGTCAAATTAAAAGTATATCCTACGACACTAAATACAAACATAAACTAAGTTCATGATTAATATAAATAATTAAGTACAAAGAGCTATCTGCATCTATAGACTACAGTATCATAAATAGAACTATTAACGTAGAAAGAAAGCTACTATGAGTATCTTAAGCTACCGGGCATTCTTAAGTATTATACCAACTTATTTGGGAGAGCATGTACTTGGGCTAACAACAATTCACCCATTGATAGCCTTATTATATTCATAAAAATACTATCCCTAGAGGGGTTAGTACCCCCATCGTAAACTAACTCGAGCCATCTCCTCTTTGTTGCCCACTGAAATCATCTTAATCTTTCTAGTTGTTGCCCAAGAGAAGTCTAGGCTACGACCATTATATGCCTTAGATCTAGTCACAAGATGCGTGGCAGGAAATAAAAGGGAGTGAGGTTACACAAGAGAAGAGGAGACCCAAAGAGAGGAGCTTGTTGCATGGTTAGGGTATTTTCCTACCATATATACAAGAAAGAGTAAATGAGGAAAAGGGGGGGGATAGTGATAGAAGTAAGGGTTTTTTCACTAAAGAGAGGGTTTTAAGTGTTTTTATCTATATTATTTTTTCGTTGACACATTTATCAGTTACTTGTAATATGAGAGGATTATACTCATATTAACCAGGTAGAAAATCATCTTTAAAAGGTGAATTTTATTGGTAATTTTAAGTAACACAATTCCCTAAAACAAAAGCATGATTATGCAAAAATAAAAACAAAAAATCAACACACCAATTTAATATGTAAAATAAAAAGGGGAAAATTATGGAGAAAATGAGAAAAATCCACTATTAAAAAGCGTTGAAAGTTGAAACAATTTGATAGTGCATCCTCTTACAAGCTCCCAAAATTCCCTCAAGAATCCTCACTCTTTCACAAAAAATTTTTCTCCCAGACCTAATGCTCTTTCAATAGCCCCGAGAATCTCTCTTGCCCGCCTCACAATATGCCCTAGGTTTGCTAACAAGCGTTTCGCGAGGAATAAAGTTCAAATATAATGTAAAAATGACTTTCATAATACTTGTATGCATACTAAAGGTAGTGACATTTTTTTGATAGACATGGATGCCTCTTAATTGTTGAAAGATTATGTATGTTAATGATTTAAATAATTTAATAATAGTTTTTTTAATAAAAGTAAAAGGAAAATGCTTTTTGTATAATTTTTTTATATAACTTTTTTATATAATTTGACATATCATTAAAGTGATTGGTTTTTTTAATTCATATGAAACTTGTGATATTAAATGTATTTATTCATTTAATGACATGTGAAAATTGTATAAAAAGGTGAAATAAAAAAGTTGTCCATATAGCACCACCCAAAGTAAAAAATATTGAATTTGAATCGCATAATATATAGGTGAGATGTATTAAAAATTAAAAGTAAGTTGTCCGAAGATAAAAAAAAATAAAAAAATAAAAATTCTTTGCGTGTGTGGACACTCGACTTTGAGGTTTCAAGTCTGCCTTTGTTTCATGTCAAACTTCTTTTAACTTTTGACTGAGTTCTTGAATTATTTCTTACACGGTTACACCAGCATGATCCTTGCCGTTTCTATTTTATTTTTATGGTTTAGGTTTTGTTTGAAATTATTGTAAAATATTTTGATTGTAATTGTGATATTTTAAATATTTTATTAGGACAAAAATAATATTATTATTTAATAATTATTTTAAAAATATATTATATAGAATTAATATAATTATAAAACTATAAGAAATATTATTTAGAATTAATTTAATTATATTTATATAATTCACTATAATTAATACAATGAGTGCAAAAAGTAGAGTACCATAAAACCGAGACAACAATGCTAAACCCAACTCTAATTTTTTACTACCTCTGATAATTAGTTATAATTGCGCGTAATGAGGTAACGACTCGGATTCAGTAACTTGAATTTTGAGTTAAGGGTATTCACCTTTTTGTGAATTGTATGTTTAAACTTTAGGAAATCTCGTTCTCCATCCTTCAATTAACACACTTAAATAATTGTAATTTGTTAAAAAAATAATTATGAGTAATGAGGAAACAAAGATTTGAGATAAAAATTTAAAATTAATGATGTTGGGTAAAATATGTTATTAAATTAATTGATTTATATATAATATTATAAATTTAAAAAATTTTAAAAAATTAATTATTAATAATATATAATTTATTTTTTAATATTTTAAATAACTTAATTTATAGAAGGTTAAAACCTTATTTTGGTCCCTAAGTTGTTTTATGGACCTCTAAGTTGTTGTATGTATCTCTAATTTGGTTCTTGAACTAAAAAAATCTCTGATTTAATTCCTAATGTTTACTATTTTAACCTCAATTTAATCCTTACATTAAAAAAACTCGTGACGTGGTCTATTACTTCACGGTTATATGTTGACATGTCAAATATTAATACATGTGGTGGTTAGTATGACAAAAAAAAAAAAAAATAGTGACATGGAAAAAATCATGACATGGAAAAAATAATAATATAAAAAATAAAACTTAATTCTTTCTTCTTCTTCTTCTTCTTCTTTTCTTTTTTTTTTCTTCTCTTTCCCTTTCTTTTTCCTCTTCTCCTTTCCCTTTCTTCTTTCCCCTTCGAACCCAGCATGCCTGGGTTCGATTGAACCCGCACTTGCTAGGTTCGATGGAACCCCAGCGTGGAATCCTTTGAACCCAGCATGCTTGGGTTCGATTGAACCCATGCATGGGTTTCCTTCGAACCCAACATGCCT